GTATTGTTATCGATACGACAACGTACACCGAGCACGCGTACCGTTATCAATGATTCTTGAAATGTATGATGCTAAAGGATGGGAGAAAAAATGAACCTCTATTTGTTTGTTGTTTTTTTTCGTTTTTTACTTCTTTTTTTTTCGATATTTAAATTTTCAATAAAAATTAAATTTTATTCTATGCTTATTTTATGTATCTTATCGCTAAGATGTCGTCTGTTGTTGTGCATCTAAATTGTTGTTTATTTTTTGATAACGTTAGCATCAATAAATTGTATCGAATAGACAATAAATAATTCATTATGAGATGCTAAATAAAAAAAGAAAAAACAAAACAGTTTTAAATCATTTTCTAAATAAAACATTTAAACACATAAGAACATTTTCTAAATAAACATTTTCTAAATCATTTTTTAATTTTTTTTTTCTTGGATTAATAAGAGGAAAAGAAAACAGATGTTGGAAAAATGTTTACTGTGTTTACTCAAAATGATTTAATAATTGGAGAATGATGAGCAAAATTACAGCTGTTACTGGACAGTTAATCAATAACTTTGTAAATAAATTAAATTTAATAAAACCTTTTTAAAACTAATCTTAGATTTGTATTAACAGTATTAATAATAATAAAAATAATGGCAAAAAAAACGACTGTAATAACAGTGGTAATATTAGTGACAATATAACAATAATAGCAAACAAAATATTTTTCAATTTTGTTGTTAAAGTTTTTTTGCGAAACTGTACAACCGATACTTTGTAAGTTGGTAATAAATAACTGTGCATATATAATCTCAACAAACGACGGAAATATTTCTGATTTTTCAAACTCCAGCCAGTCAGTGATTCTTCTTGATTCGCCATCGAAACGAATGGGTAAAAAACGTTTGGAAAAATTGACTTGCGAAAGAAGTGTCGATTCTGCGCAAGAACTCATTGTTGGCGGAGAACAAGTAAATATATAAGTTAGAATCTTATAAGTAACTTACTGAAACAACTTTTGTATTTTAAAAAGAGCACAAAGAATATTCTTAAAGGCTGAAATGAAGGAAGCTATGAGGACTGGAACACTTAGCTAAAGACTGTTATTTTTTTTCATGTGTTAATAAAGAAGTTATAGTTATAAAAGCATTTTAAAAAACGATGTAGATTTATGGCTTTATAATGTCTTTGATGTTTTAGAAGGAAAAAAATGGTGTAATAGGAACTCGTAAAACAGTTCTATTAATCGGTGGTCAAGGCTGCGGTAAAAGTACGTTGATCGACGCATTTGCCAACTATCTGTACGGTGTAAAAGAGGATGACGATTATCGTTATACAGTATTTCCAATTATTGACGGTTACTTATCTTCCTATAACATTTTTATCTAGTCTTAATTAAGCAGTTTAAAACTTATTGAAATTGCAGCTTTAGATAATTATTTTTTGCTGTTCAGAGACAATGGCGAAGTTGAATCCATCAATGAGTACAGAAAATAACTCAACAGATACTGTTACCTGTTATGTTTTTCACAATACTAATTTAACGTTTCCAGTTGCCTTCATTGACACACCATCACCAGGCAAGTTAACTGTTAAAAAAGTGTAGATTTTGAAAATACTTGAACAACTAAAGAAAACTGATAACCGAATGATATTTTTTTATAGGCAAAAGAAGCGCAATTGAAACATTCGAAATGATAAGGAAGTGGTTTCTGAGTGAGTATTACTGCGCAATAGAGGAATTTGAAGTAACATTTTATGCAGCTAAGAGTTTTTTTTTTTAAATAGGTTTTCTCAGTTACTTGGCAGCTGCTCACCCTTTTCTTTTGGTGTTTCTGCGGTATTCGACAGAAGCTAAACATTTTTTATATTCTCTCCTCTGCCAAATTTGTCTCTGGAAAAGATAGAGACAGTTTTTATTAAAAAAACAAACTTAAACACAAAAATTAAACCAAGGAATGACATACTCTTTCATCAAAAATTAGCTTTTGGTTACATTAATCCACGTCTAAAACAAAAAATTTGAGATTGTTGGTGGCAAAAATAAAAAGCAAAAACATTTCTTAATCTTGTGCTCATTTTAAATTATTTTTATACGTTCTGTTCTAATTTTTATTTATTGTTTATTAATATGGTGATTAACTTTCAAAGCAAAACAGCCTTGTAATTCTCCCAGGCTTAGAAATATTTCAGCTTCATTTTTTTCGCTTCAGTAACTGAATAAAAGTTCTTCACAGCTTTGTAACTCATCTAACAGCAATTTTTGACACTAAGTTAAGGCTGAAATATGCACACGATTTCTGCAAAAGTTTTCTGAATTGCAAAAGTAGCGTACATTGTATTCGAACAACTGAACATCTAAAAACACTAAGAAAATTTTGAACGGCACTTTTTTGCGAACTATAGCCCTGTTGTTCGCAGTGAACAACCACATTCTTCAATGCAGCTGCCTTTAAAAATTTTCCTTTACTCTTTGTATAAGGCACTCAACCTAACAATATTCGTTTAGATCCTGATTTCACTTTTAAGTACCAATTATTAGTTATTTTACAAAGATAAACGCAGTTTTCTATTTTTCAGATATGGTATTTGATAAAATCAACAGATAACTGCATTCCCTTCGATGTATGGCAAGTACTCGATTCGATGGTACGAGAAATAGAATTTGATTTTGTTCCTGTGATCCCACTGATAACTCACGCTACTAAGCGAGAACCACGAATTGCTCTTAGTGCTTTAGCTCAAATTGGGTACATTGGACTGGTAAGACTGAGCATTTACTTGTCTACACTAGTCTCCATCTTAGATGCCTCAAAAAAACGTCACCTTAGTAATGTCCCGATAAGTTTTTCTTGCACAAAATTATGCCTTTACTGAACAAATTTAAACCATATAAACAGTAACGACATTTATTCATAAAATTATCAAAAAAAATTTCAGACAGCATGTGAAGATTATTATACTTTCAATACAGCTTCAGTATTGGGTTCCCACAGTCACAAGAAAGACTCAAAACCACTGAGTTTTAAGGAGAACTATGCACACATAGAGCAGATTTTGAAAAGTCTGGATAAACATTTCAAATGGATGTCGTAAGTGTCAAAATATTTCTTTGTTCGATAATATTCTTCAGTTAAGAGTTTCTATCAGAGTTTCCCGAAAAATTTCAGAAAATTTTAGCCCTTTTTTCTCAGCCAAAAACTTTTTTTCAAACTATCATTTGCCGACTAAAATATTCATCTTTTTCTAAACCTGTATAAAATTTATTGAACAAGTGTGATAGTAGTCAAGTGTCAGACTTGAAGTACACCGTATAATACTAATGAAGATATTGGCAAAGCTTGCAAAATTCTGGAGATGCAATTAAGTGCTAATCTGACCGCAAAAAACTTCTACAACTGCTGAACACCAAAATAAAAATGATGCAGGTTGAAAATATGCGCAAGCGTCTTTGAGGAAAATTTAAGAAACATTTTTTCTAAGAATTTGAGAGGAAAAGGTAAACTGCATTGTATAATTTGATGAGGAAACATAAATTATGTCGCGTAAAAGTCATTTAATAAAAGTATAAGAAATTCTGAAGTTTGAAAAGCCAACAGACTTCATTTAAATGACTCAACAAAAAAAAATTATTGTCAAGGAACCGTTAAAAAATATGTCAGTTAGTGTACAATAATCTTCTAATTAAATAGGAAAAATTTGTAAGATTTTGCAAAATAACTTTTTTGAAACCTTAACAATAGTTTCATTATTTTCAGTGCACAATTTATTTTTCGTCTACAGCAAATTATCAATTGTTTGAATAGATAAAGAAAATTTTTTGTTAGCTTTATCCCCAACGCATAGTGGAATAAAATGACAACGAATGAAGCGTCGAAGGAATTTGAAAATTTCTTTTCTACAAAAAGTTAAAAAGTTTGTACTTTCTATAAAAATTAGGAAAAGTAAAAGAGTTATTAAAGTGAAGAATACATTTACTGAGGTGGTGGCTAATAGTTACGTTCCCAAACCGTCAAGTTATGATAAAGATGCTTTCAAAAAGTCTCTAAACAATTTACTCGACTTCTGCTCATTATTGCCTGTTTTTGCAGTTGTATTAATAAGAAATTTTTCATTTTGATCTTTTAAAGTAAAAACACAGTAATTACTCACGTTTACAGAATCTCAGATGGATCAGGCTGCACCACTGCGATACAAGTGAATCTTAGCAGGGCAAGCAAGACTCAAAAAAAATTTTACACAACGGGTAGCTTCAGACGTAGCGTTCGAGCTAAACCAGTTGTTGTCAAAAAATATCCTACAATAGCTGAAGAAGAAAATGAAACTGGAGAAGAAACAAACAGCGATAATTTAAGAAGTAATCTGATGACGGTCGACACAAAAAATGAGGTAAAAACAAAAATTATAATTTTTTGAAAATAATTTCCATACAATGGGGAGTTCTACTTTAGGTTGAACAATGGTTGACGTTTTAGCGTATCTAAAAAATAAAAAAAAAAAGAATGAACTATTTTTTAGACGCAAACTGTCCCGCATCTAATAATGTCAAAAATGGAAATAAACCATAAATCACGAATTGTAAAGGACCATGAAGTCGGGGAAATTTATGAAGTAATCAGGTTTAGACGAGCCAAGGTAATGAACTTTTCGACACAAACTTCCATAAACGATGAAGCAAAAGTCGGTGATGCACCGCCAACCATAGTGAACGAAAAGAATGCAAAGTATTACTCATTTCAAACTGGAGTAACCACTGCAGAAAAATATGTACAAGCAGCTGCCGAAGCATACGCCAACACTGGAACACAAATGGAATGCACCCAGAAATCAGTAGAAACTGAAACGGAAAATTCATCAGCTGTCGCCAAAACTCAAACTGATTATGCTGACAAAGTAGCATCAACACAAACGGACATTGAAGTTGTTGATGTTCACGTTCAAACAAATACGGATTGCTACTTCAAACCACTGCGAGAGCACGGACTATCAGAGAATAACGACATAACCCCTCCATATGAGATACATAAAAATCCTAGTCCAATTCGGAGTGTTAGCCAAAGCAGAACCTCGACAATGCTCTCAAGTAGCACAGCCAATAATATGGAGAATTCATCACTCCAGAATACAATGAGTCTGCCACAGTTGCTAAGAAGTGAAAATATTGCTGAAAATAACGAACCAGATACATTGATTCATCGTCGTGGAAGATCCAGAGAGATTACCCCAATTATTCTTACAGCTTCGCCTGAATGTCATAATGGTATCAGAACTTTGAACTCCTCTGCTCTTGAGAGTCTGTCTGCAACTACAAGTGCTCAGGAATTGCACAACAGTGCTAATAATAGAGTAGACTTGCAGACTTCGCAAAGTGGTCATGGAAGTAGGAGGCAGTTAAATTCTCATAGCAGTGCTGCTTCCCCATCGGTGCAGGGCTTCACTGGCAAACACGGAACCGCGTTTGTATCCTTTCAGAGACACGGCCCGAAATCTCACAACGTTTGGAATAATAACTTAACGCCAAGTTCTTCTGAAAATTCGAGTTCGCAACAGCTCAAAATTTCTCACTCGTTTCCTGGTAATCGTCATGTACCGTCTGAAATCAGTGGCGAGTTTATAGTAGAAGGCGGTTATACTGCAACTTCTGATCATCGACATTTATTGCAGAAAAGAGAAGGTACTGTTATATAATTCAAGCAGTTTTTATGGTTTTTCAAAAACTGTAACTATTATTTGTTATCAAGTATTATATGAAAAAAAAAACAATATTCAGAAACGGCGGCTACTTTAAAAAATACAGGAATAACGCTTGTTCAATGGGGTGAAGATAATTCGGTAAGCATTTACGAAGAAGGAAGAAAAAATGTGGAAAAAGGAAAAACTAAACGAACGTATGAAACACTTGTATAAACTGTATAAGGATACAACAGTGGCACAATCAAATTTTTAAGGTAATTCGCTAAAGAAATTAATTTGTGTAAATGAATTACTGTCTTGTTATCTTTATTCTTGAACGACAGCTTTAATCTGCGCAAAAACTTCGAGGGTCAGCTAAAGTTTTGCTCTGTAATTTCACTAAAGTAACGATTACTCTCTTCCTCTAATTAAAACACAAAATATACAAACAAGTACCCAGTGATTTTAAAAATTCAGTCAATTTTAGCAAACAACCTTTATGATTTACTACAAATATCAAAAAATTCTGAAAAGCAGGTTTTTAAAGTATAGTACATTGAATTTGTTACTGATATTTAAAAAGACGTTTTAATGAGAGAAAGTGGAGCATATATGTCGGCGAACAAAAATCTTTACGCTTGAACATATAACAAAAAAGTCAATAAGGACTCAATAAGTTAGCAACGAGAAATAAAGTTAAAGCTTGTATTTGTATATAAGTTTTTTGCACTAAAGATGTCAGCTTTTGAATTCCTCTCACAATAAAAATTTTTTCTTTATCTTTTCAGTATTTCTAGACGGGTCTTAAACATAGAACTTTGTTTATACTCATAGCTTCTTCATTGTTCATTTTTGATGTGATATTACATTCTGGCAGAAATATTTGTAGTGTCAACTTGTTTCGTATCTATTATTGTATCACTCGTCTGCTGTGTCTGATTGTTGATAATTTGAAGTTGCTATAACATAACCATAGTTGTCCGTAGCATTTTCTAAAATCGCAGCAAGTTCTCGGGACAGCTCTCCAAATGATGGTCGGTCTTGTGGATTCAGATCCCAGCATCTTTCCATTATTAAGTAACTGTAATGAAAATTTGATTTAAGTATATCTTCAGTAATTTAACAGAAACTTAAAAGATTTTTACTGTTGTCTGACATTTTTTATCAAAAAAAATTGAACATATGTAAAAAACCTAAAAATTAACATTCATCGCCATAAACATACTTCTGACATTTATAATACAAACAACTTCGATTTGGTTATTGTCTACTTTTTACAGCAAGAGAGGTTACTGGTGTTGGTCCAGTAATGGTAATTTTTCTTTCAAATACTGTATGAATTACACTGATTAGGAATTTCAGAAAGAATGCTAATGCTAGCAGGAAAAATGAATTTTTGGAGATTAGAAGTTTGCAGAATTATTAAAAAAACTTCCCTAAAATCTTTTTGTAAGAACTGGAAATCTAAAAATTAATACAACTGATGGTGAATTCTTTGTGCAAGCAGAAGAAGGATTAGCGATACAAGGCCAGAAAGATTAAAAACTCGTTCAGTATTTCTTCATTTCCTAAAAATAGTATCCACAGATGGTTGTGAGTCACAAACTTGAGAAGAATGTGCTAATGTGGCAAAAAAAAAAAGACATATTAGTGCTTCTTGAGTAGCTTTTGCACGTTACTTGGGCATTACGAAGAACCTAAGAAAGTTGGGAGAAACGGTCTCTCAAAAAAACAAGAAAGAATTTTGTATTTGTTGGCGATAATAATCAGCTGAATAAGGCAGCAATTGAGGAACTAGTTTCTGATGATGTAAGACACAATCTTCCTCCACAACAGGGAAATTCATACGTTTTTTTTTTTTTCAGATCACTAATTTCTACGCTTAAATGGTTAAACTTTAGTTACTCATCTTGCTAAAAGGTAAACTTTTTAATGTCTGTATATGATAAAACTATATGAGTTAAGGAAGTGCTTATTTTGCTTGATAAAGTTTATAACAAAAAGATTTAGAGAATTTTAAATTGCTAGAACGTCTAGTCATTGTATCATTTTAGGCAGAAAGGTAAGACTTGAAACTTTGGTAAGGTAAACGGATATTGAATTTTTTATATTCACTAACTTCGTTTTGCTTCTCTCTTCCCCTAACTTTCTAGTTTCAAAAATGCGGGTGTTTCTTGCCTCATTTCCTCAATTATTATTTCTTGACCCTCCCCTTTTTTCTGTTGCTTTACCTAGTTCAAAACATGCGCTTTGTGAAGAAGAAATTAAAAAAAAGGAAAAGAGGTTGCTATTTTAATTTTGTTTTTGAGCTCGCGGAACGCCGCTTAATTTGTTCAACCGCGCCATGCTCACTTCAACTTACTTGCCGGCTTGAATTCTTGTGATTTACTTAAGGTCAGACAATCTCTCCTAGTCGATTTACCAATCTATACTGCGCAAGCTCTAGTTTTCACCTCTTATTATAGAAGCAGAAGCGAGAAACAATGAAAATTTTTATTTATGGTCTCTAATTAGTAGTTTTATCTTACATCTTCTTTAAACAGAAGAGTTTTTTAAGTGCGGACGATTGATTTGGTTGTAACTCATTCCTCTCCACCTTCTTTTCGTTAGCTTATTTACTCTTCGACAGTCTCAACTAAAAACTCTTCCTTAAGATCTCTTCATGAAGAGCGGGAATAAAAAAGTTTCTCTACAGTCACCTTTGGCTTTAGTCATAGCAAAAGTTAGTCGACCGCTGCACTGCTTCTTTTGCGATAAGGATACACTTTTAAAAGCTAAGAAAATATTAATTATCGTTTTTTGGACGAGTTGCATGCTGTCGTAGCAAATGTTTTCCTTTGAGATCTTAGATCTTTCCATATCCAAGTTTCAAATAAGTATATACTTTTGATTTTTTTTTCTATTTTTAACTAATTTTTAAACAAGCTCTTCTTCTTCTCGCACTGACTTCTTTAAACGACATCACTGTTCAATAAAACTTGTTAGTTTATAAAATTTACATTGCTGTTGGGCAGTGAGTCGGTTGAGAAAGCCTTTGACCAGATTTAAGATACGCCAACAAACGAGGTGCTTCGACCAAGTTGTAAGGAGTGGCACCAAAAGAAAAAATCTCGTAAAGAACTACCGCAAACGACCATCTAAAATTTTTCTAAAGCTTTTTATACATTTTATTTGCGTACTGTATTTGTGTTATAAGTGTTTGAGACAGGCTAAAATGTAATTGTTGCTTACAACTTTCCACCTTTTTCTTCTTAAATATTCAATAAGTATTTCAAAGAAGAAATGTTGTTGTATGAAAGAATTAACGATCTGCAGAAACATACACATCAGACTTTTCCGAAAACTTCACTGCTTCTAAAGATTCTGGAGCCATCCATTTCCAAGGTAGCCGATTACGATGGCCGTAATAAGAGTGACCATCCGAATTTCGACAAAGGCCAAAATCACCAATCTTAATAGAAAAGCATGTTGATATGCAGTAAAACCATGTTTCTTTCATAATATATACAATTTAGTAATAAGGTAAATGTTGAAGACAGTTAAGGTGTCAATTGTTATATACGTTAAAATACCTTAGCAATATTGTTGCTGTCCACTAAAATGTTACGTGCTGCGACATCACGGTGAATAAATCCTAAGCTGCACAAATATTCCTTAATAAACGAATGTAAAACAAACGACTACAGATCCTATCTGCAATTGAATGTCTGAAATATTTTAAAAAATTTGTCTTGTGTTTTAAGAAATCTAAACAACGGTAACTGTTCTAAAAGGACCGTCCGATCTGTAACTTACCAAGCCATTGCTGATTTGCCAACCAAATGAAACAAGGTTTTTAATCTTCAAACAATTTGCGTTGTCATAACCCTGAAGTAGAAGGAGTACTGACAACTTCCGGTAAAACTCAGTTTAAGACAGGTTCCTTGTTGTTTTTTTGTATGATTGACGTAAAAAAGACAGAGTGACAATAGTGTTGAACAAAAATGAAATTGGTTATCATCACTTTTTTCATATCATTTTACAAACTTACGTAGATAATTTCTTCCTTTTTTAGCCTCACAAAATGTAAAAGGTCTCCGTTGCCACAGTATTCTACAAGAAGCATAGGTGATCGCTCATCATATACCCAACCAAGCATGCTTACCAGGTGTGGATGATAGTTCAAAGATTTCATAAAGTTTATCTCCTAAAAAGTCTTTTTCGGTTTTTTAAAAAATGTTCAGTGAAAAAAAACAAATTACCTGTGTAAAGTCAGAGTAGGCTACTGTATCAGAAAAATACGGCAACATTTTAACCCCACAAACGCAATCTCGAAATTGTTGCAATGCTAACGTTTTCGGATTGTTCTTACACAGCGGAGCTTCACCCCGAATTTTTCCTGATGTATAAACGACAGTTTAGTGGTTACTCTTAGCAAAATCTTCATAATTTACATTGTTCACTGCCATTTCTCGTGTTTAATTATGGCCAACTAATACCTTTGTAAACGACAGAAAATGCTCCAGAACCAAGTTTCTCGTCATAAAAGACGGTCACTAAAGAACTATCAATCCTCCATTTATCTGTCTCTCTGAAAAGATAGAAGCAAAGTATAAATCACTTTGCCTCATCTAATTAAGCATTACATTAAAGACCTCTGTAAAAGTATTAGTTAGGTTTCACTTTTGATAAAAAGATAAAAATTTCTTGTTTTAAAGCCACCTATTGTTTATCGACGCCTCTCGTTTGACAATTTTTCCAGAACCGTTCTGATAATAATTTGAGTGTTTCACCTCTCGCTGACATCCAGATTTAAGTTTTTCGGCAAGTTTTTTTAAACTCAATAAGCCTTTTTTGCCCCAATGACGTCGACAAATAAGGTACACAATTATCACCAGGATCAGTAAAACTAGTACTCCAAGTGCAATACCGAGACCTACTAAAAAGTAGAGAAAAGTTACTGCTTATTTTGGCAGGTATCTTTTATACTACCAATTCCAAACACAATTACTAAGAAAACTTGTTTATTTTTAAATTTAGCAAAAAATATTCTCGCTCTTTCGTTTTTTTTTTTTCAAACCGTTTTTTTAAGTACATCTACAGATGCATCTATTCTAGATAAAATTTAAAAAACAATGCCTAGCAGTAATTTTAGAGTAAGCCTAAAATGTTGATGTGAATATTGGTTCATTTTAAGCAAAGAATGGTATAAAGATTTAAATGCATTATTACTAATTCAGTTTTCAAGTTACTGCAAGGAACTGTTTTTATAGAAAAGTTTAGTTTAAAGTTTAGTTTTTTTGCAAAAGAAAGTTCCAGGAAAGTTTTTTCTTGAGAAAAGTGGTTGGTTTTATTGTTTTGTTCAGTTACAAACTCTTTTCAGATGGATAAGGTTGAGAAACAACTACTAGCAATATACGCAGAAAACCGGAAGTACAAAAACAAGACAAAGATGAAGAAGAGGAAAGAATGAAGAGAAAAGAAAAAATATTAAGGGACTTGGCTAAAAAATAGAGTTATTTAAACTTATTTTTGGCTATATCGTAGTAAAATGTTTAAAAAAGCATCACTTAAACAAAAATGTCTTTATTAGAAGCATTAAATTAAAACTAATCTAAATTTGATTCTACATAAGCGAGAATTTATTCGAAGAGCTCTTGACTTTCTATAAGAATAGCAACCGAGAAAAGCACTACTACTCGTATCATATAGCAAGAACTTTTGTCAACTGCAAAATAAGTGAGAGAAAGTTTAGAGCTTACAAAAAATTGAGTGATTTGGTAATGATCTGAGATCAAAAATACGCTTATACGATAAATTTAAATCTGATAAAGTTTCTTCAGATAGATAAGGTTCCTCAGAAAAGTAACCTTATGCTGTATTTGAACAGTGTTAAGCACTCAGAGCTGCAATACTTTATCATCTGTTACAGACGTTTGTGTCATAAACTATAAATGAAAAAATTTCTCATACAACCAACCGGTAAAGAAGTATTACTACTTCTTTTATATTTTACACAGCTTCTGTCTTAGTCAGACACACAATCTCCTCTATATATAGCTATAATACTGAGTTGCATATCAATAGATTATTCAAGATTTTAATGAACTAATCTTCCCCAACAGTTACATAATTCTTAACTACATGACATGACTTATTCCTCGCCTTAAATTATTTGGCAATGAATTTTGAATGCTGCAACTGCATTTTATCAAATACTATCAAATAGGTGATTATTATTAGTTTCTGAAAAATAAACAGCTAAAGAGTAAACGTTGAGTACAGTTCCTTTCACTTCACCCCTTTTCTGTTCCAAAATAAATAAAAAAATTTTTCTACTTTTTCCTCTTTTTCTTCTTTTCTGTGGCAAAATTGTTCACTGTTCAATAGCTTTTTTCTTCAGAAAGAAATGAGGTCGAAAGAAAGACACACAAGAAGAAATTTTCTGAAGTTTTAAAGTTGAAGGTAAGTCGTTGCTGATGCATTGTTCCTTAGTTTTTATAATTTTATAACATCAAATAAACTATTAGATGACTCATAAGAGGTATAATTTTACAACACCAAATAAACTATTAGATGACTTATAAGAGGTAAATTAGAAGGTAGCTTAATGAATGTATGTCGAAAATTTAACGACTTTTTCAAATGAAGATGAGAGAACTTGTGTTGATATCTGAATGGTAATGCAAATGTGAAAAACGCAAAAATATAGCCAGCCAAATGATGGTTTCTTTTAAATTTTGATTAAAAGTGATAGAAAAATAGGAGTTGTCAGAAATTTACATGTATTCACTTTTGCTTCTTCTTAGTTTATATTATAAGAAACGATATAGAACGGAATAGCAGTTTACGGAGAAAAATTGACAACTATATTTTTTCTATACCCTTTTTCTATGCACCGTAATTCTCCAAGTTTTCTTTTTCTCACTGAAGCTTCTTTGAATATTTTTTTTTTTGCTAATCAAAAGAAAACCTGTCAAACTTTGTCAAAAAAAAATTGAGATTCAAAGTTTTACAATGAGATAATAATCCAAAAAAAAAAA